ACTATGCCTAGGGCTCACAATAATATTAGGGGTACACAAAAATGTTTTAAAGAACTTTCAGGTAAAAGAAAATGTTTTAATCTATATTTACTTGTCTTTACAACAATACAATCATAAAATATTTTTACTATTTTTTTAATAGAGAAAGGGACCCAAGAAAGCAAAGGTCAAAATGTGGTCCTGATGGTTATGTAAACCATTCTTAAAGAGAAATCACACACAAGAATAAATATTGAGGGTTTGACTTTTAAAAAACTTCAGTAATATTAGAATGATATCACAATTATTATTTAATCCTTTTCAAGCAATTCATTATTAACAAAAGCTGTAAGGAAATACTACATTTATACAAATAATTAATAAGGATTTAAAGCAGGAGTGGGCAACCTTTTCTCTGCCAAGGGCCATTTGGATATTTATAACATCACTAGAGGCCTGGTGCACAAAATTCTGCACTTGGTGGGGGTGGGGGGGTGTCCCTCAGCCTGGCCTGCACACTCTCACAGTCTGGGAGCCATTAGTCGAACATCCTTAGCACTGCCACAAAGGGGGGAAAGGCTCCCACCACCACCACTGTGCTCACCGGCCATGAGCCTGGCTTCTGGCTGAGTGGCACGCCCCCTACTGACCGACCACCAGGGGGCAGCTCCTACATTGAGTGTCTAACCCCTCTTGGTCAGTGCACTTCATAGGGGCCAATCGGTGCGCTGTTCATTCGATTTTCATATTAGCCTTTTATTATATAGGACTTGTACAAAATTATTAATTTTAAAAATTAGCCTGCTATATTTGGTCATTTAATTAACTCACCCCTACTACTGCCTTGGCAGGACCAGACCAAATGCTTTTGCGGGCCTTACACGGCCCTCGGCTGGCTGTTTCCCACCCCTGATTTAAAGGAAATAGGGAACCATAACTGTCAAGAAAGCAAAATTAAAAAGTGGAAGGAAAAAAAGAAAAAGGAAAAAGAAAGGGGGAAAAAATGAAGGACAAATAGAACCACCCTCATTATTTAAATTAGCAAAGCTGAAAATACTGCCGAAGTAAATTGATAGATTTAGCATAATGTCAATTAAAATCCCCAAAGGATAACTGAAATATTAAAGAATATACTGAAGTATGTTGTCTAAATTTGAAAAATATAAAGAAATTAGCATGTGTCTAAACCTATTGATACTGGGGTTTTTAAAAAGACAAAAGAGTTTTTTAAAACTATTAGTTCATCTTAAATATATGTGGAAAATTTGATGAACCTTAAGAGCATTAATGCTAAGTGAAATGAATCAGCAGACAAATACTATATGATCTCACATGTGGAATATAACTAACAGAAATGGAGATCAGAGGTACAAACTTCTAGTTATAAGACAAATAAGTTCTGAGGATGTACTATATGGCATGATGAGTATAGTTACAATATTATATTGTATATTTGATAGTTGCTAAGTGTGTTGATCTTAGAAGTTCTCATCACAAGAAAAAACAGAAATATGAATGTTTCTAGTACAATAATGTTAACATAAAGAAAAAAGAGACAACTGGTTTGGCTCAGTGGATAGAGCATCGGTCTGCGGACTGAAAGGTCCCAGGTTCGATTCCGGTCAAGGGCATGTACATTGGTTGTGGGCACATCCCCAATAGGGGGTGTGCAGGAGGCAGCTGGTCGATGTTTCTCTCTCATTGATGTTTCTAGCTCTCTATCCCTCTCCCTTCCACTCTGTAAAAAATCAATAAAATATATAAAAAGAAAAAAGAAATTGATCTCTTCATCTTTATTGTACTTCCTACAGAATTTCAAAAGAATTAGAAATGTATTTTTAATTTAAAAAAATATGGATTATTTCTAGACAAATTAACCAAATTATCATAAAAATATCTATAACATGAAGAACATCAGAGTAAAGATAAAAAGAAAACCAGAGTGAAAACTCAGGTACTGAAACTGAAATGCTAGATAAAAGTTTTATCTTCAAAATATACAGGGATGGGGCTAGGTTGATACTCAACAAACTCACAAAATATGACTTTAATCAAAAAGAAGCAGAGGTGTATCCATTTAACTATGTGCCAGGTATTATTATAAATACTATAGTGTTTATAAAAATATATGTTTACACTACAGTGGTTATAAATATATATATATATATGCACTACACATACATAGTATGTATATGTACTGTTTATAATAGTACTTGGCACATACTCAAAACAAGTCCTCTGTGAAGAAGATAACATTTTCATTTTGTTACAAACTAGAAAGGTAAGTTACTTACCCGATATAGTTAGGATTTGAACCCAGACAGTCTCACCCCAAATCCATGCTCTCAACCACTAAGCTAACTTGCTTCTTTTCCTCTGTATAACAAAAATTCATGAACCTTTCATCCTATAAATCTAAGTCTACTAAATAAATATAAATTACTATTTTAAAAGGCAAGACAAGTAAAAAATAGTTTGGGTATAGTGCTTTAAGGATTCAGAGAGCCATAATATGATTTTCAGTAAAGGGGGTAAGGGAAAGCTTTGTTGAAGAAATGATATCTATATTGGGTTCTGTTAGGATATGAGACACAAAGATAGGAAGTGGTAGAAGAAAATATTCATATTGAAGGAATAGAATGACCAACAACACCAAACTAAGGTTGAAAAGCTTAAGTTGAAAAGAATGGTGCAGATGGAAGTGAAAAGAAATGCCACAAATCTAGGCATGGTAAAGAATATCTCAAGTAAGCGGGGGAGAGGGGTAACAGAAATACAGAAAAAGGAATAGATATGTATGTAGCACAAAGTAGCTACTTAAATTTCAAAATATTAAGAAACTTACAATGTCAGGAAAAACAAGACTTCATATACTAAAAATAAATACAATAAAGGGCATGGGGACAGCTCTGGAAGCCACATTTTTGGGAACTTGGCAGAGAGAGCCCAGTAGGGGCCTAAAAAAGCTAAAATGAAGGGGTAACAAGGACTTGAAGACAAACTGCTCCCAAGTGATTTGGCCAAGTTCAAGATTTTAACTAAGGAGACTTTATAACACCAACATTCTGAGGGATATTATGGAGGCAGATTTTCAGAGTTGGGTAACAAAATAAATGTGGCAAGGACTAAGGTTTTAAGTGCAAATACAAGAATAATTTTTTTCATTAACGGAAAGTAAATTTAAAGATAAAAGAGACACAAGGTCAGATTTACAGATGGCAAGATTAAGGCTTATACAGCATGACTATATAAGAAACTAGTGACCCAGTGCACAGATTCGTGCAATTGAAAGGAAATTAATTAATTTCAGATTCAGAGGCACGCTGTGCCAATAGTTGGTCTTCAGATACATTCTGGCATTGTGTGCGAATGGCGCCAACAAAAACTTCATATGAATTGCGCAGGCACAAGTCAACGTTTATTTTTAAATTGCCAGTGCACATCATATGTACTCGTTGGTTGGTCGGATGGACAGTTGGTAACTTAGCCTTTGATATCCTAATACATAAAAAGTCAGGAGCCATCATGACAGAAACAACTGGATGGACAACCAAATAGCAGGTTGTGTAGGACAACAAGGCTGGCAGGGGGGTTAGGGAGGGAAGACCAAATGACTGAACAGCAGGCTGCATGAGGCAACCAGGCTGGCAGTGAGGGCAATTGGGGGCAACCAGGCCAGCAGGGGGGGCAGTTGGGGATGACCAGGCCAGCGGGTGGGGGGGGGGGGGGGAGTTGGGGTCAACCAGGTGACAGGGGCCAGTTGGGTACGACCAAGCTGGTGGGGGGGGGGGGGGCGAGTTCCAGACCAGCAGGGGTGAGGCAGTTAGGGCGACCAGGCCCGGGGGGAGGGGGGGGGAAGTTGGGGGCAACCAGGCAGGCAAGAGGGGCAGTGAGGGATGACCAGGCCAGAGGATAGGGGGAGTTGGGAGTAACCAGGCCAACAGAGAGGTAGTTTGGAGTGACTAGGTCAGTGGGTGGGGGGAGTTGGGGGTGACCAGGCCAGCAGGGAGTTCAGTCAGGGTGACCAGGCCAGCAAAGGAGAGCTGTTAGAGGCGACCATGACAGTAAAGGGGAACAGTTAGGCAGGTAGGAAATGAATAGTTAAAAGCCAGCAGTCTTGGATTGTGAGAGGGATCCCAGATTACAGAGGGTGTAGCTTGGCTGAGGGACCACCCTCCCCAACCCCTCATGCACCAATTTCATGCACCGGGCCTCTAGTATATAGATAATGCTGAGTCCACAGAACTAGTGATTGTGTACAAAATTAGAGCTGAAAATACACCTTTCCTGAAAGTTGTCAAATTTTAAAAGAAAAAAATGTTAGGAAAGAAAACGATGCTAAAACATAAATCAAATAGAGTTTAGGAAACTATATTTAGAAGGGAAAGAACAACAGCCAAAAGAAGGTACATCAGAGGTTAAGACCATCACAATCAAGTATAATACAATAGTGCTCCCTAATATTTTTCACATGAAAGTACAATAAATAAGACAACATGTTTGGGTAAAGCTGCTAATACCTAGACATTATTAGCCCAGGAATAAGAAATCATTAATATGTGCACCAGTTAATCTGCTCAATGAACTGCTTGAAAGTTGTGTCTCCCAAAAGCCCATATGCCAAAAAGTTTAAGGTTCTACTTCCCTTAAGTACCTCTTTCAGTAGTCATTAGTCAGTTCGGTGGTAGCATGTTGCAGATGTGACAAAAAAAAGAACTCAGAAATGACCATCAAACTTTGTAACTAAGAAATCCCTAACTATTTGAAAAATCAAATGAAAAAAAGCTAGATTTCAGGAAGAAAGAGTGATTAATTAAAGTGGCAACATTTTTACCAGTCATGCTACTCTAATTGGTTATAAGAAGTAACCTAAATAGGATGATTCTTCAAATCCTTCTAGAAAAAACATTCTCTTTTAAAATAAATTATAACTGTAATATGTTCTACCTTTTACCTTTATTGTATTCATATTAGTAAAAAGGAAAATGAATAAAAGTTGTTTGAAATTTTGCAATACTTACCCAGTACGAGACTGACCGACTTTATCACAAATATCCAAAATGAGACCCCAATCTTCAGCAGTATTCATCTCACTAGTTGCTTTCTCTGTATATTATAAAAAGAAATTGCAGAAATAGTATTTTTTAAAAATCTTTAAGGGGTAAATCATCAAATTGTAGTATAATCAAGTATTAACAACAAATCATAATAATTGCCAGCAGTCTGATTAATGAGATGTTCAAGTCCATCTTTAAAAAGAAGAGCACCTTTATTACCTATCACAATTATTTTCCCCATTCACATTTCAGTTACTTTTACTTTGTATAAAAAACATGCCATTGGTTTTTCTTTTTTTAAATAAAAATATACAGCTCTATCTCTCTCTACAGATATCAAGATAAAAAGAAGAAATTTCATTATCAAATAATTCTTAGCTTTATTTGCCAGTTAAGGAACATAGGCAAATCTCTATAAAATGTTTCAGGGAATTAAATTAATTATTTAGTTTTCGTTTTGGGTTCTGATAAGAAAAAATTGAACAAAAGAAAAATAAGCTTTAACTGAGTATTTCCCTTAAATAAAAACTTGACAAATTAAAGATATCAAGAGAGGGAAAACATTAGAAGCAATAATATTAACAATACCTCAAAAGCTATATAACAATGTAGAAGACCAAGAAAGGTGGGTTGTATACTGGCAGTAAAAAAAAAAAAAAAATGTAAGAACCGACCTGTTTTATACCACTGAATTCTCAGAAAATTCAAATATTGGTAGCAAAAGGAAGTCTGAAATTGAGAGTGAAGAATAAAGAAGATTTAAAGTTAAATGTAGCCAAAACCGATTTGGTTCAATGGATAGAGCATCGGCCTGTGGACTGAAAGGTCCCGGGTTCGATTCTGGTCAAGGGCATGTACCTTGGTTGCGGGCACATTCCCAGTAGTGGGTGTGCAAGAAGCAGCTGATTGATGATTCTCTCTCATCGATTTTTCTAACTCTCTATTCCTCTCTTCCTCTCTGTAAAAAATCAATAAAATATATTTTAAAATAAATAAAGTTAAATGTAAATGGGTTAAGGGTTAATGCTGTTTCAAAAGTACTTTGCCTTTCTTACTCAAGGGCTTCAGCAACCACTTCTCCTCAACCTAAAAAAAATGAGTAAAGATTTGTTTTCTGGAGGTAAAGCAAAGATTTTCTAGGCAAGGAGATACCAGACATAGTTGAGACACAGGTATCAACTTTTGGTTTCCTGTCCAACATGTAAGGGAGTTAGAAGTCATCACTCCATTCTAACAAGTAAAGCACAAAAAAAGTGAATAATAAACAACTTTTCATATATCCCTCAAAGGTGAAACCACAGAGCAAATTGTTCCCCTCAAATTAGAAACACAGACAGGTGGATACACAGAATCACAATTTAGAGCAGAAACATCACCAGAAACTACTAGTGGCATGAAAATTTACACTGTAACAAATTGCTGGGAGCTAAGTGTGTACAAGTCTAAGGGCCAAACTCCAGAGGTACACAGTCATAGGGAAGCCCCCACACTTTTTTTTTGTGAGTTTCATAAGAGAAAAATTTCTTTGTTTTTCCAGCAGAGGAAGAACAGTAATTATTCTGAAAGACACCAGAGCATTCCCTTCTTAGTAAGACCCGCTACTCTCAAGAGAAACTATTTACCAGCACCTAAACAACTAGGGTTTTATTAGAGATTAACCCACCTGGGAAGGGATTAACCAAACTCCAGCCCACTCTGGCCACCCTGTTCCACCTGAGGGGTACAGGTAATACTGATAAGCATGTGAAAAATTCACACTCCAGTGGCAGAGGTTCACTACAAGACTGACACCCAATCACAGGAACACAGAATGCTTTCCACTGACACCTTACCACTGGAGCACTAAGGCTGAAATTCATTTTATCTAGTAGAGTATGTCTAACTTTCATTAATGCACACTTATAAAGCAAAAAAGTCTGAAAAGACGGAGCAACCATCAGAACCGGACTCAGACATGGCAGGAATGTTGGAATTATCAGACCAGGAAAGTTTTAAACTGTGATTAATATGCTACAAGTCCTAATGGAAAAATGAGACAGTATGCAAGAACAAATGGGCAATATAAGCAGAGATGAAAATTCCAGAAAAAAGAATCAAAGAAAAATATTAGAGCTGAATAACAGAATAAAATTAAGAATGCCATTGATAAGCTCTATAGTAGACTGGACATGACTGAGAAAAGAATCTCTAAACTTGCAAATATGTCAATAGAAACTTCCAAAACCGAAAAGCAAAGAGGAAAAAAAAAGTGACTCAAAGAAAGTGAAACAGATTATCCAAGAATTCTGGGAAACTACAATAGGTGCAATACAGAGGGAAAAGAAAAAAGAAAAAAGAAAAAAAACAGAAGAAATATTTGAAACAATGATTCAGATCTTCCCCAAATTAGAAGCCAAACTACAGGTCCTTGAAGAACTGAGAAAACAAAAAACAATAAATGTCAAAATAACAATACCTACGCATGACATATGCTAACTACAAAAGATCAAAGATAAAGAATATAGAGGGGGGAAAAGACAGCAGAAGGAAAAAAACAAACAAAAAAACACTGTACCTATATAGGAATAAACAGAATGACATCTGATATCTCAGAAACCAGGCAAACAGGAGAGGAACGGAATAAAATTGCTATGTTGAGAGAAAACCACTAACCTAGGATTATGTACCCTGGGGAATTATTCATCAAAAGAAAAGGAGACACTGGGATGCGCTGACACCAGCACATTGGGCGTAAAGCCTATTGGTAATTAATTCTACATCAAACTGTCTCCTTAAGTCTTTCTGATACTGGGTGAGGCTGGAGGCTCAGTTCTAGTCTGGTGAGAGAATCCAACTGCATCTGGGGGGGGGAGGGGGGTGTTTACAAAAGATTAGTTCCTTGATAGGTGCTGCTGACACTACTCTTCAGAGGAATCAGAGCAAAGCCACCTCTATCTGTTGGATGAGAGATGGAAGATAAGCATCTTGGTTGTCCTAGCTGATAACACACAGAAAAGGAATGGGAGTGCTCCAACTGCTTCAGTAGAGAAGGCAGTTGAGTGGAATATCAGCTCCTTACTTAGCCCCACTGAAACCATGGGAGGCAGCGGAGGATAAATTATCCATTGGTGTTTGACTAAAGTAGGGTGGAAATTTTAAAATAAAGTTTGTTGTTGTGCTAGGAAAAAAAAAAAAAGAAAAGGAGAGCCCTAGCTGGTCTGGCTCAGTGGATAGAGCATCAGCCAGCAGGATGAAGGGTCCCAGGTTTGATTCCAGTCAGGGGCACATGCCTGGGTTGTGGGCTTGACCCCACTGGGGGGCGTGCAGGAGCCGCCGTTCAATGATTATTCCCTGTCATCATTGATTGTTTCTATCTCTCCCCTCACCCTTCTTCTCTGAAATCAATAAAATAAATAAATAAATAAATAAATAAATAAATAAATAAATAAAAATAAAAAGTTTTAAAAAGAGAGAGAAATAAAGACTATCTCAAACAAAAAAACACTGAGGAAATTTATTATCAATAGAGTGGCCTTTGCAAGAAATGTTAAAAGAAGTTCTTCAAAGGGAATGGTAAATGATTGTGTGTGTGTGTGTGTGTGTGTGTGTGTGTGTGTATGCACACGCACACATTTGTGTATAAGTGAAATGAAGATGAATACTATTCAGAAAACCAGCAATAAAGAGAACTACTTCAAAATTACAAAGAACGTCCACAAAAATCTAATATGTTTAATGGTGAGAAACTGAACGTTTTACTGAAAGAGTTAAAGAGAATAAAACGGGACAGATAAAACTTATTGTGCTTAGCAAATATCTTGTAGAAAGCTTGCAGCTGAGCACTGCATAGCTAGATAACCAGAAGATACCTAGCATCAGGAGGAACCAGGACGGACCAGACCCTTTTGTCAGCAGAGAGGCTTACAGCCAGCAAAAATTAATAAAAACCTGCCTCTCCCTTCAGTCTCTGCTGATTCCTTTTTCAGACTCAGCCCACCTGCATCCAGGTGCCTAAAAAACAGCTTCTTTTGATACATTATGGCCTCATGTCATAGGTGCACAACCCCAGCCCATTCTGAACCTTTCATTTACCACTGTGGTGAGGATATCCCCTATCACCACACCTTTTCTCCATCATATGGGAAATCCTAGCTAATACAAAAAAGACAAAAAAATAATACAAAATGTACTCAGATAAAGAGAGAAATAAAACTGTCTTTATTCACAGGTAACATAATTATCTACATGGAAAATCCAAAAGAATTTTTTGTTGTTGAAAAAGAAAAAAAGCTGGAACTAATATATGATCATAGCAAGATTTCAGGATACAAGGTTAATTAATATACAAAAGTCAATTGCTGGGAGGGTAAGCCAGATGTTTAAGGATATAAACTTGCAACAAGTAGTAAATAAGCCATAGAGATCTAATGCACAGTATAACAAAAATAGACAATATTATAGTATAACCACCAACCTTACTAAATTATCATGTTGCACACATTAAATTTACATAATGTTACTTGTCAACTATATTCACTAAAAACAAATCAACTACTTTTCTATATAAACCAGAAATGAACAAGTGGAATTTTAAGTTAAAAACACAATGCCATTTACCATTACATTAGCAATAAAAAAAAAATGCAAAACTTAAGTGTAAATCTAACAAAAGTTATACAGGGCCTATATAAGGAAAACTACAAAACTCAGATGATGAAAGAAATCAAAGAAATGGAGAGTTATTCCATGTTCATTGATAGAAGACTCAATATTGTCAAGATGTCAGTTTATCCCAACTCAAAATGGATCATAGGTCTAAATTTAAAACAATCTAAAAAACTAGAGCCTGACCGGTGTGGCTCAGTTCATTGGATATTATCCCATGCACCAAAAGATTGCCGGATTCGATCCCTGGTCAGGGCCAAACCTAGTTTGCAAGCTCTATCCCCAGTAGGGGGCGTGCAGGAGGCAGCTCATCAATGTTTCACTCTCACATCAATGTTTCTCTCCCTCTCCCTTCCTCTTTCTCTAAAAATCAATAAAATAAAAAAAACTCCTAAAAGATAACAC